TCAATTTATATATTATCCAATTTGCAATATAAAACCCTATAACATAAAATTAACAATGAGAAGGAAAGAGAATAGAACAAAATATGAAACGTGATTGTCGTTTCATTTCGAGTTCTCGATTTCAAACTCAATATGTTTTGCTCAACAATGCGCACAAGTACATCATTATGTCTCACCCAGTAATGGTAGGTGCTATTTTTGCATTTTGAATGGTATGAAAGAAATTTTGAATTGTTTTTAAATGCATATCTCATGATTGCTTTATAGAGTTGTAATTTTTTTCTGTTCAAAATAAAATTTGATTTCTTAATTAATAATTGCATTAATCTTTTAGTTCCGGTTTATAAAAAATACGTTGCAGCAGGTATATGACTAGTAATAAATGAATAGGTAACTTTTTTTTGGATGAACAAGAAGGGTATTCGTGTAATGTAGCGAAATACATCTCGATTTTAATGTTTTATTTTATTCTTTGTTTCTGTCGCTGTTATAAAATGGTTTTAAAAAAACCATAATGCTTTTATTTTTGAATAAATATAAACTTGAAAATATCTTAAAATTTTGAAAAAAAAATATAGATATTAGTATCAAATTGACTATTTAAAAGTTCTCATTTTTTTATTATAATTAAATTTAGATTTAATAACAAAGTAATTTATTTTTGGTTTAATAATACAATTTTACAAAAACAATAATTAAGTTATTGTTTATCCTTATTTGATTATGTTTATCTGTTGTTAGTTACATAGACTCAAACATGGAGCTTTAATAAACTATACATACATATAATTTGAATGTAACCTTAAATTTTAAGTAATATATATATATATATATATATATATATATATATATATATATATCAATAAACAAATACATAGAACAAAGTTTTTAAAAGTTTTTATCAAATCTTTTATCTATATTATATTATGATTATATAATAAAAAAACTTTTAAAAATTATTTTTTATAAATGAATTACTGTTTATTGATGCATATTACTTAAAATTGAAGATTATAAGTAAATTATGCATAAGTACAACTTATTAAAACTTCATGTTTGAATTCATGTAACTAACTACAAATAAACATAATCAAATACTGAATAAATATTTTATTTTAAATATGAAAAATCTAAAATATAATTAGGATAATCATTGTGTTATAACATAATACTTAATTATTATCCTTATAAATTTTTTTATTATTATATCAAAAATAAATTACTTCCTTATTAAACTTAAATTAAATTATAATAAAAAAATTGAATTTAAAAAATTACACAACAAAACAAGAATTTTTAAACAGTTAATTTGATACTAATATTCTTTTAAAATTTTAAGATATCTTTAAATTTATATTTTATTTAAAAATAAAAATATTATTGTTTTTCTCAAAATCATATAAAATCGTATTATAATATCAATATGAGACAAAATAAACAAAATATTAAAATTGAGATATATCTTGCTACATTACGTGAGTATCCTTTTAATAATATAATAAAAAATAAGGTTGCTCCCATCACAAAATTAGGATAAAAGTTCAGTCAAAGATTCCTAATCAAAATAAATTCATAGATAAATAGGTAAATTTTCATCTTAGAAAAAAATGTTGGTATTTTTATAGGATATTTGTTTGGGAAAGGGTTATTCTATCTCTATCTCCTCCTACACTTTATTTATATTTTCTATACCCCTTTTATATAAAATAATAAAATATACACAATTTAATTTATTTTATTTTTTATTTTTAACCCTTTAATATTTTCAGTTTTAACCCTTTAACTTTTG